AAAATTTTCTCTAAATCCATTGCAATCAAGACGCAGTTTATTGAGATAATGACCATATTTAATAATCTGCTCTGCATTGTCATGTTTTTGTGTACTCCTGCGCAAGAAACTATGAAATATTTCAATGGTTGAATCGGAGAATTTGAGAAGTTTGGCTTTAATGGACTCTAGGATCAGATGATTAATCGATTTCCAATAGAAGATGTCGAAGAGAAACATTAGTGGGGCTTTCATATAGTTTTTGCAATTGAACCTAAGAAATATTGTCCAAATATAAAAGCAAGATTCAAAATAAGTATTAAAATTTCCGGATCTAAAAAATACTGCATAAACATCCAAAACAAGAGGAATCATATTATCAAGAAGATCCTTAAGCATTAGATATTCGGCATCTTTACAGAATCCAAATTTTTCTTCAACGATTTTTGAAATTTCTTGCCACGTACTGCAAGAGATCTCCAAGATTAGATTGATGTGCCACAGCTTAGGTTTTTCTGCAAGAATTTTTCGTTTTCCAAAAATATACCTATATATAGATGAGAAGAAAGGTTGATATTTAAGAAATTCTTGACTATTTAATGAAATGTAAAGAGGATCTATAATAGAAAAAAAAGATAAAATAGAATTAGTAATATTCGATAAATTATAATTAAGCAAATAATTTGAAATTGCTATGCTGATATAAATTTGTCTGGACCAATTTGCTATGATACACTAATCAAAATAGTGTCATTTGGCATGCTGCCACTCGTCAAACATTCGAATACAACATTCGGCATAGTATTATTCAGCAAAATTTCGGCATAATACCACTTGGCAAAAATTCGGCATATACTGATTTATAAAATAATATTTTATTTTTTGTAATAATTATAATAAAATAAAATAAAATAAAATTTACAATATATTTTTTTTAAAAAAATCAAATTTAGATAAAAAATGTTTTATGCCTAATTATAGCCGATTTTTAGTAATTTTAAATATTATACTTGTGGTTTAGTGAAATTACAGCTAAATATTTACAAGAATTATGTCAATTTGATATTTATATATAAATGAAATAAATCGGCCAAAAATATTGTGAATAGGGATTATACATTTATGTTTAATTGGATAAAATTCAGTATTTCATAATTCAACATTCATTTTATTTTCTGAACCAAAATGAAATCTTATATCTGCCGAATTAACTGGTTTAAACTATATATGTGGTGGAATTGAATTCGGACATTTTTCAAAAACCATATTATGGTAGAATTACTAAGTAACATATAGTAAATAATTGAAATTTGTATTTAATTCGGAATCGTATTGTCGATCAAATTTCCTTTTATGGTAATACGACCACATGTATGGTTTAAACCATCGAATAAAAGCCAATTTATGGTATACTACATTATTTGGAAAATTAATCAAATGTGTAAAAAAAAATTGAACTTGTCCCGGATATAAATTGACACTTCCATCATGATTCATAAATCAGGCTAACACAAATAAACCCTTTACATTTTATAAAGATATAAGAGAATCAAAAATTTCACTTCCTATTCGGCATCTTCCATATTGATTTGCTCTATTCAGAATAACTATCGAATCATTAATATTATTTGTGAATGGTTTTCGAAAGTTCATTGTTTTATATGAAGCCTCATAATATTCGACTAATAGATCTAATATTTCGACAAGTAATATTAAATTCAATTTTTTGGGATGCAATAATTCACCTGGAAATTTTTCTGATCCATTGATAACTGTCTCATGAATATTATATGTGTTGTTTAAAAATCGATATAATTCATCAGCCGAAAATTGATCCAGTTCAGAAATTGAGCCAACATTTGATCCATTATTCAGAAATTCAAATCCTATTTTATCTGAATAGATTGATATTAAATATAAAATTCGATAGTTATTCATTAGTCTTCGTATTAATTCTGATTCAATTTTTCAATAACTATTTAGCAAAGAATCTATATTAAAGTTTATTAATGAATACTATAAGTAATAAACTAATATACTGAAAACTTATCAAGTATATCATTTATTCTTTTAAATGAAAAGTATCAAAAAACATATAATGGCTCATAATCATATACACATTTATGCAAATACAAAGAAAGATAAAGATTTGGTGTAATTTTTCCTACTTTATATTTTTGTTTAATTAATTTAATAACTTTGATTAACCTTTCGTATACTTCATTTAATGAGTCTCGTCTTATAATTCGGTATATTAAAATTTGACATATTTTAACAAAATTCATTAAAATTTGACAATCTGTATCTGAAAGATATTTCTATAGAACGATGGTTGCATATATTGTAAAGAAATTTCACCACTGATCGGCAGTAAAATTTGAGAAACCTTTGCCAATATTTACTTTTTCTTGGGATTTGTCCAACATCTGATGGTACTTGAAACTTTTCCATTATCGACTATATTTTATCCAATGTATTGTTTGTTAATATACTCTTTTCAATCCATATTCATTTAACAAGCCATTTGCCGATACCCAAAAAAAGACAATGCATAGGATCGATGACTAAATACCGAATAGGATTAAAGTATGGTAGGTGGAGAAGTTCTGATCACTTGACATGATTTTCGCTAACAAATTGTTTTCGTGCAGCATTAGAACTACAACTTTTCCATTCGATAGAATTTCATCTATAGATTATCAAATCCCTTGGTATAAACCATTCATTTATATTATTTATATCACCATAGTTATATTGATTGTTGACATAATTTGCTTTTTTCTTATAGCGATGGCATGATATTAATGCCGAAATATGTCCACATACTTTTCGTGCTGCAGGAATATTGCATGAAATTAAAATCAAAGTAGCCTGAATTATTTTCCTGTTTTTATTTTCAGCAGTAGAATCTAACATTACTTCTTGTCATAGTTGCAACAATTCGTCTATAATTGGTAAAAGGTAATAATTTATTTGATGCAAACTTGATTTACTAAGGCCTAGTAATATACCAAGAATCAGCATATTTTTACATTTAAACCATATTTCACGTGGTAGATTAGCGATTGCCACATATATAACACCAGTACTATGTGTTTTGTTATCATATAATTGAAACCAGTCAATATTTAGCATCAATCCTAAGTGTGAATCTGCCTTTTCTTTGCTAAAAAATAATTCCGAATTTTCATCTTCGAAGGTTTTCCAAATAT